TGTTGGGGGGCTTCTGCGCGGTGTCGGGGCTGTTGGTGCTGGCGGTGGTGCTGTACGTGGCGTCGCGGTGGGCGCCGCGGGCGGCCGTGGTGTCGGGGCCCGGGCCGGCGACGCTGGTGTGCGCCAGCGAAGTGGGGAGCTGGTCGTACTCGCAGCGGCAGAGCCGGAGCCTGTGCGTGGCGGAGGGCGCGGGCAAGAGCGACCTGATGGTTTTCAGCCCCAACTTCCCGCCGCCGCCCGGCCCCGCCGTAGAAAACGAGTCTGCTGGGAAGGGGCCATCTCTCGCCCCACTTGCTTCTGCCGTGGTATGTGTATTGGTAAATATTTTTTTTTTCTCAGTTGGGCAGTTCTATTTACCTGCAAATTTTCATGGATCGTCTATGTATTAAAACACACTTTTCGTAGTAATATATTTAGAATACTAGTCCTTGCCTTGTATTATTCTTCGATGTAGCCGTAGTGTACAGCGTTAGACATGCATTTTCGCCTTTTGAAATGTCATTTTTTGACTACTTGAATGCGTCGCAAAATTTCCGTCTCCGTTTCCCCCGCCCTGCGTAGAACGTTACACTTAAACATTCTTAGAGTTGTAAGTTGGTTCCGTCCCAGCCCGCTACTTGGCTTCAAATCATATTCGGAGGAGTTAGCAGATCTTTTATATCCCCTTTTTAAAGTATCTTTCAACGTGTGAAAAAACTCAGCAGGTCTCCAGGAGTTTGGTGGCTCCCTCAGGATTACCGTAATTAGGGTATTATCTTTGAAACCAGGTGTGGTTACGCTTGGTTTGATGAATATTGTGTTCATACGCGCCAAGGCTCGGTCGGGCTTTTATTGCATCAGCAGCTCACTGGGCGGAGACAGAACACAAATCATCAGAAGCTGAAGTACATCAAGTGAGAGTTATGGGTTGCAGTGAGAGGAAGAACTGTTGGTGGAGGTCGTGAGTACTGTTGTGAATCTGGAAGCGCGGTGAAAAGGTGAGAGAAATTGGGATGAGACACAGGATGCTGTATGAAAAAGTGGAGAAGCATTTGAGGGAGGGGTTGCTTCTTCGCCCTGCTGCAGCTCTCCCCGAGACCTGATCCCGCTCTCTTCGTAGTGTTGTGGTTTCTGTTCTACTCCATCCACCCCTGAAATGTGCTGTGGAAAGTAGAACCGAAAATTAAGTTGGCTGGAGTCGAGAGAGGGAGGAAGCGTGGTTAAGGTAAAATAGAAAGAAAAGCTTCTATATGCAGTATTGAAAAGCCTAGACATGGTAGGTTGAAAACTTTTGGTTCACCCAGCAGTAGAGCAGAAGAAACAGGGAAACACAGATTCAGCTGGAAATACATTTCCGATACTGGTTTTGACACTGATTTTTCCGTGTGGCGAGTGATTGCTTAATTACAGCGTTGTTTTAGCACCGTTATCAAAATAGTTGATCCTGACCATGCACTAATGCCACTGAATGGACTCTGTTCTCGTCGAGACCAGCTCCAAAGCACTCTGAGATGAGATATTAGGATCATGTGTTGTGTTTCTTGTTCGATGTTAGAAGCTGGATGCAGCTTCTACAGAGAAAAGCGAAGATCTCTTATATCTGATTTTTTATAGGGTAAAACGGAATTCTCTAGGGCTGCCGGGGTTCTAAGAACAAGCAGTACTTTAATATAATTCTTATTCGTGTTATGCGTTTAATTCGCCAAAAGACACACGTTTGGATAACTACTATATTTTTGTGGCAAAGTAATCTCTGTAACGTGGTGTATTTCTTTTAAGAACGTACATTATGTTGGGTTTTGTACTTCTAGAAGTGTTTTACACTAAGGGTGTGGACTAAAAAAATAAAATCGCACGTCGTTTGTTCCAAACTGACAAGAATGGTCCTTGCAGGGATACAGAAATTTGGGTAAAGAGAGCTGAAAATTTCATGTCGGTCTTCGAAAACAATCATAGGAGGGAATTATCGCGCGCTGACACATAGAAAAAATGTGAGCTTGTGCCATAAATTTATCTTTCCTTCCTGTATCTATTTTAGATCCCTTAGTAAGGGCTTTACGTTGGAGTTCTTTGTGTATTTGCTGGGGATTGTGTTTCTAGTCTCCTTTGATCATGTCCGATAGCTGGATGTGCCTACGGGGAGTGGATCATCACCTCTTAAGTATGCGTGAACTACCTTCATTTGTAAGTAGTAAGGCTTATCCCAGAGCTGTAGGGCTGTCACTTTCTTTCCTTTATTCAGATGGATGAGATGGAAGGCAGGAACAGCAAACCGCGCTCGCCTAAAGCAGAATCTTCTGGGAAGGTTTAACGAATTCTGTAAAAGATTGTGGAAAAACTCAGCACTTGCGCACACGTGTGGGAGGCAACTAATTTCCTTGGGCTGTGATTATGGGCGATGTGGAGTCTCTTAATGCCGACCGTTTGGGGTTTGGCTTCCATACGGATTCTCTTGGTTTCTCTGACAGCAGTAATGAATTGAAGTCTGACCGATATTTATTATGGACGTACACTGGCAGGAAATATTTCAGCATTTCTTTTAGAAATATAAAGCAGTCTTAACTTCAGCAACAGAGCTTATGGTGCTCTTACTTCGCAGCATAGTCAGGGCAGGAGTCGTTAACAGAAGGCGCTAGAACATCCAGTCAGTGTCTTGAATAAAAGATAACAACTTCGTGCAGGGCTGTCAGTCGCTGCAAGCCCAGTCTCTCATTCCCCGCTCATATTGTTTTGGAGAATGATGCTGATTAACTGCGATGTTATCAGGCACAGTGTAATAGCGGCAGCCAGGCAGGGCTGGCAGCCGGGTGCTCTGTAGGGCGCTTCCGCGGGCGGCTTTGGGAGCGGAAGGGGCGCGGAGCGGCGGCGGAGCCGCGGCTGCAGCGCCAGCACCGCCACGGTGGCCGGAGGCTGTTTTGCAGCCTCAGTACTGGGGATTTTGCAGGCAGGGAAATGCCCGGCGCGGTTGCCGGAGGAGTTGTGAGAGACGCCGGGTGCCCGGCTCGGAACTGCTTTGCCGCACGACTGGTTTCCCCCAGCATCTTCCGCCAAGCCCAGCGGTCTCTGACTGGGAGTAAAGAGACCACTCTCCGCCCTCGCGTTCCAGAGGCGAGTTTTTGCGGGCGATGTGGCGAACAGCACGCTGTGAGTCCGCATTTCCGTGGCTTGCTGTGGGTAACGAGGATTTTCGTGGGGTTCGTTGATATGTAGAAATCCTCTGCGTGCGAGATTGTTCTCCTGGGCTCCTTGTAAATCATCGCCGCTCCCGTTGTCCCCACGTAGCAGCTGCGAGCTCCCGTGGCTTGTTGAAGGGCATTCTGACATCGCTGCCCGCTCTGCCTGCAGGCATAGCCTGCATGCCCGGGGGGAGGAGGGGGAAGGGATGTCAGAGCTTCTCTGCCCACCCCTTTCGCCGCGGGAGGCGCGGGGCTGAGACGGAGCCCGCAGAGAATTAAAGCGGGGGCTGGTCATAGGGGGAACAATTTCCACGGGGGAGAGCGTGGGCTGCCTGCCACACCGAGTTCCGAGCGGGAGGAGCCCGGTGTTTGGGGTCGCTGGGGGTTACTACCGTCCTTGCGCTCATCCCTGCCCGGAGGAGCCCACATGCGAAAGGCGACAGCGGGGTCCCTGCACCTCCGTCGGTGGCTCCGCGCTGGCGATTTGGGCTCTGTCCGAGGAGGAGCTCCGGTCGTCCTCAGTCCGTAGGCAGACCATATTTACTATTGGGTAGTGTACGAGCTTTTTACGTGCTCCTTTCCGAGTGGAAATAGCGGCTGGGGCTGCCGGTCGGTCCGGGCACCGCTGCCGGCGCGGAGAGCTCACCGGTTCTCCTCGAAGGGCAAACCTCAGGGCTGTCGCTCTGTCTGCTCCCCCGAATGCATATAGCCCCTTCTTGCTGTCTCCTGCTGAGGTGTCCTAATTTAGCACCAGTAGGGCCCCTGGGTTCTGGTGATTTTCCCAAGGCTCAATACCGAGCGCGACATGTCCTGGAAACCTCCGCCGAAGGCACCGTTCCGCGTCTATACCGCCTCTGATGCATTTCCTGCGGAAACGGCGCCTTAAAATAATTGCTGACGTAGATGATGATGTTCAAACACGAGTGGCGCTTCGCGTGGTGCAGCCACGTGCTCCACAGCCCCGAGGTAACCCGGCTTTACCATTTATCTTTCTATTTTTTTTTGCCTTTGCTCGCTTAACAATTTCCTCTTGCCGCTACTATTTTAGGAGCACAACGTGCACGGTTGGACTAATGACGTCTTACCGTCGGAAAAAGGGATGATTGGCTAAAAATATAAGACGGAGCAGGGGAAAGATTTTTTTTGGGCTCTGAGGCGGTGGAAAAGCAGCGCTGCAACCGCCTGTCAGGAGGAGGGACGTGGAGGAAGAGGTCTGTGAGCACGTCGGGGAGCGGGAGATGATGAACGGCGTTGTGTAGCTATTGGTGAGACCGCGGGGGTGCCGACCCATGCCCTCGGGATCGCAAAAAGTTGAATTCCTCGGCGAGTCGCGTCAAAGCGGCTTTAAGAACGGGTCAAGCCGAGGGGAGGGAAGAGGGAAGGGTTCAGAGACGGCAGGTTGAAGGCAAACGTGAAATAAAAGACGAGGGGTTTTAAACGGTGGTTACATTATCTGCTGTGATACCAAGGGAAGTGTGATAATAAACACCATTAAATTAAATAATTAAACACCATTAAAGGTGTTTAATGTGCAAATAACGTAATTAGGGTAAGCGACTTGAGATGGAGACCCTGAAAAGAGGGGTTAGGTGGAAGGGCGGCTAAACAAGAGTGAGAGTTTTTTAGAGTGTAAAGAGAGCCTTGAGACATCAGAGGCAGCTGAATGTGGGAGGCAGAGCATGAACAGGCAGGGAGGATCAGGCCTGGGACTCTGCCGAGCAGAGCAGTGGCTTCACGCACAGGGCAAGGCTGTATTCTTCCCCCACGGGACAGCAGTGTTACTCCCTTCACGGCAGGATTGGCTGTGGTATAACTGGCCTTAGATATTTTATATTACTAAGCACTGGACTTTGCCCGTGACCCAGAGCTGTCTATCTGAGTGGTGCATGAGTCAGGCTCACCGGGCTGGACAAGGAAGGTGGTGTGGCAGGAACAGGGAGTATCTGGGTGTTGAGATGCCTCTGGCAACACGGATGTTCCAGTGAGTGAAGCTGCCTGACTGCTGGGGATGTCCACAGCAGAGACTGGAAAAGGGCAATAGGAGAAGGGATGCCAAAATAGTGAAGCAGGATTGTAAGGACTAAAAATGTTGTTAAAAAGAAAGAGAAACAGAGGCAGGTTCCTTTAGTGCCTTGTAAACAAGCATTAGGCAATGCTACAAAATTAGAGATGTAGCAGAAAGATGAAGAAGTTAATTCGGATGGTAAATGAGTGAATTAAAATGTAGGCTGCCAGATACTTCTCAAACGTGAGTATATCTTGGAAAGAGGCAAATGTACAACTACTTTGACTGATTTTGGCCATTGGTCATTGATCAGTTTCTTCTAGCCCTGCTGGTATTTCAGGCATCGGTATGTGTAACAACAGCTTGTTATTCCAATGTTAAGATTCAGAGAAAATCTGCCTTTGAGTGGATTTCTCTGTTCAACAGGAAGATCTTGGGCCCAAAATTATTTGGTTTCTTTGTTGCAAACCTAGTCACAGATGGGTGAGTAGAGTTTGTGTGTTTTACCTGTGTGTGCACCTGGGATACCAACACCCATCTGCCCTAGCCTTCCCGGATGAACTGGTTTATCCTTGCCACAGGCCAATGTTACGGGAAATTTATCAGTCTTTCCTGTGACTTTAATAGATGTTATTGCATTGAGTCAGGGTGTTTATAACAACTGTGAATCACTACAGAGCAGTAAAATTAGCATCTATTTCTCATATTGTAGATGACATAATATCTTGGCAGAAGAGGAGTCAAGGGCAAATTTGGGGTGGGGGAGTCTGGATGACAATTTTGTGGTGACTAGGTGGGAGTTAGGGATTTCTGCAGTTAGCAAGCAAGAAAAAAAAAAAAAAAGCCAAAGTAAACTTACATTGTATACTGTGTGCAATAGTCCATTGAATAAATTTATGTAGTGTGTGAATTAAGGTGGATGAACAGCTGCTCCGCAGCTCCTGCACTCAGCCTCTCCTCCCCCTCCCCGCAGCTCTAATGGATGCGGTAGCGTCAATGCAGTACAAGTAAAATGCAACATTTGGGTGCTGCCAGGGGCGCCTGGAGTTAAAAAATAAAATAAAATAATCAGGTATTTGTGCTGGGACTGACCAAGGCTTGCTCTGGTGTGGGCAGGTTAGGATCCTCACTGGGATGTTTTGCTGGGTTGTGAGGATGCAAAGAGATATATCGATTTTTTTTTTCCTATTATTACTATTTAATGTACAACTTTTGGCTGTGCTCCCGATTTTCTCCCACTTTGAAAGGCCCTGATACTATGTATAATTGAAATGTTCTCTTTCACTTGCCCGGAAAATCTCAGCTGCACAAAGAAACACAGCAAATGCAAGAAGGGTTAAGATCTGTCCTTGTCGCATATTTATAGCCTCTTGCTTTTGATCAATCAGAATCTCGTGATAAGCTCTCGCAGAAGGAAGCTGGAGATGGAGGAGACGGGAGGGGTTGTCAGGGCTTGAGGCCCATCTGTGTAAATTGCTGCTGAAGGTCATTCCAGGAAGGTTTTCCAGGAGGGTATTTTGAAATGATTTCTGCCCTCTCCCACCTGCTTAGCAGGTAGTTGCTAACTGTGACCTCGATGCAGAAAGTCGGGGGAGCAAAGAGCTGTGATTCTTTTTTTTTTTTTTTTCAGTCGTGGTCTGCTGTCTCTGTAGGATATGAGCTTGTTTCTCCGCACAGTTCCTGGACATGTCCTAAATACAAGACTTCTCTAGCGCCGATATTTACTTCTCTACAAGTAATTCCACTGCTGCAGTCTCCCACTTTCCTCCGGCCACCCGAGCCATCCCCATCCTGCTTTGGCAGGCTGGATGGGAGCTCTTCTGTGGCTGCGGGTGATCCGACTGGGGACTGTCAGAGGAGAGATCCTTCTTCTCTCCAATAATCCGTGTTAATTTATCTTGTCTAGAAGGCGAAGCAGGGAAGACGCTTTTCCTTTTCTTTTTTTCCTCCTCTCCTTTTTTTTTT